TTGGTTACTGGCTGGTTATGTACTCAAAAATAATTTTAGATAATTTTAACCTACAAAGTTAACCAAAACTGCAGCTTTAACCCAAACTTTAATATTATAAATTGTGTGTCTAATATTTGACTTCAGTCAATAAAGGGTTTCAAACTCAGTTCAATGATGATTATAATGGTGTCTTAAGAAGGCAACTGCCTATAGTGCACAAGCCAGTATGACACCTTATTAGGATTTGCAACAGAGCTTCTACCCACTGAGAATAATATATCCAAATTTTCAATATTATGTCTCTAAAACATGGAAGAAAGATAAATCCCTGAGTGGTGCAGTTTTTTCTCCATTCAGTTAATGAGAAAAGCATTTAGCTCAATATCATCCTCCAAAAATAGACTCCACTATAGACTTTTTTTTTAAAGGAATCAGCAGATAAGCATATGCTTCGTCATCATTCTTCATCCTAATGTCATGCTGACCCCTGTCCATGTGTCTAAAGACCTCCTCAGAGAAGATGTGCAATATTTTTAGCCGTCTACATACAATACAGTCTCCTTTTCCCCTCAGCATTGTCCTCACGTTCACTTCAGACTCTGATTTACAACCTGTGTCAGGTAGGCAAAGCTCTAAATCCGCATCCCGGGCAGGAGGAGCGAGGCTGATTTAGGGTCTGGGGAGAAAAGGCTACAAGCAGGGATATTGGTGTCATCGCATGAATGTGATCCATCCTATTGTTATCTATGCAAGTTCCTGTAGTGCGCTGGAAATGTCAAATGAGCAAACTGTTTCCATTTCAGGAGTCAGATATAGACAAGATATAAAGTACAAGCTCAGAATCTTCTGGAGAAAACATTTAGTGGAGAATGAAAGAATATAGCAATTGTGAAATGCTTCTAATTCTCTCAAATTGATTGTGTAAATTTATCTGTTATGTTCAAGAAACCAGTATGAGATGATTCGGCTGTATGACACGGTGCGTTATCCTGCTGGAAATAGCTATCAGAAGATGGGTATACTGTGATCATTAAGGGATGGACTTGTTCATCAACAATACTCAGGTGGGCGATACTGCAAAATTTGGGATTGATCTGTATCTCCGTATCGCTGATATATATATATATATATATATATATATATATATATATATATATATATATATATATATATATATATATACATATACATCAAATCTTTGCTTAATATATGGTTGCTGGATAATTTAAAATTGTGAGATATAAAATTTTAACTGCAAAAAAAAAACTGAACTGGAAAATTGTGAGTTTACAAAAAAATGTTGCTTTAGCATTTTTCAGAAATATTTTACTTTTTTCTCTCAGCAAAGTTTTTATTTGTGAGAGATTGCAATTACCTTATTTGTTTTATTAAATTTAGAAAATAATAATAATTTTAAAAAGTTGATGGAAGGCCAAATCTCGCTGGATATGATTCCATACAATTGCCGGATGAATGCAAAATTGTAAGACAAAGTTTGAATTGCAAGAAAAAATACAGTGAGAATTGCAAACAAAAAATAGTCGTAATAAGCAGCAATTCTGGGTTGTAAGCTTGTAACTGAGTTGTAAGCTTGGAATTACAAGAAAAAAACAGCTTTCGCATTTTACAGCACTTTTTTTAATCTTTTTTTTTCTCATCTTATTATTTTTTTTTTTTTTTGAGAAAAATCACAATTACCTTTTTTGTTTTTTATTATATTTAGTAATAAATATTAATAATAAAAAAAGTAGATGGAAGGCCTAATCTCTGCTGGATATGATTGCTTGATAAATTGTGAAATATAAGATTTGAATTGCAAGAAAATAAAAATGCACAAATTGCAAAGAATTCTAAACTGCAAAATTGGTAAATTGTGAATTGTAAACTCGGAGGTTTAAGAAAAAATTTGCATTGCATTGCATTTCTCTCTTTTTCTCAGGATTTTCTTTTAAAATTAGAAATCGCAATTGCCTTCTTTTGTTTTTTTTAATAATATTTAGTAATATAATAGTAAATATATAACAGTATTTAGTTTAATATGTTAATCATTTAAAAAAGTAGATGGAAGACCAAATCTCTGCTGAATATGACTGCTGGATAAATGAAAACTGTTAGATATAACTTTTAAATTGCAAGAAAAAAAAGCATCAATTGTTTAAATAATAATAAAAAAGAGACAATATTGAGGAAACTGAACTGCAAAATTGGGAAATTAAGAGTTAAACTGGGAATTACAAGAAAAAAAATGTAGCTTTGGCATTTCTCAGCAATGTTTTTTTTTGGTGAGAAACTGCAATTACCTTTTTTATTACATTTAGAAAATAATAATAATGATAATTTTAAAAAGTAGAAGGAAGATCAAATCTCTGCTGGATATGATTGCGATGAAGGAAAAAAACTAATGCTCTTTTTCCCTTTTGTGGTCACCGGTGAATTGATAATGCAAGTAAATCTGCACTGGTGTTAGTTGGGTTTTCCTTCATTTTGAGAAACACAAGTCACTGTGCAGTGGAGATAATGATAATATTAATAATTATGTGCTACTGACCTTGCAGAGCTGAAATAAACTCACTCCAGTGTCAGGGTTTATAGGTTGGTAGTGTTCTGTTAAAGAGGACTCCTTTAAGAGTGAAATCTGCCAGTTATTGCAATAATCACATCTATTAATTTGATCCAAAATACACTAGAACGGTGAATCTCATCAAAACATTTCCAGGTTTGCATTAGAAAATAAATATGAGTTCAGTTATTAATGGATGTTTTCATTATTGCATTATAATATGCTGTATGATAGGAGCAAAAACAAAGTAATACTTTAAATAGGAACATTTAAAATATTTATATAATAAAATCCTGCATTTATTTTACAGTAAAAATCAGGTAAATGATCAGGTGATGTTTTAAATATGCATTCAATATAAACAAATTACATATTACATAGAATATTATTAATAATATGACTACACTATGATCATATTTCACCTGGTCTTTATTACCACAACGCCAAGAAATATCATTTTCAATAATTAATATCATGGAAAAGTAGTTTTTAATCGAGTAAGTATTTACACAATGATAATGCTGATAACTAATGCAATATTTGAATGTTTTTGCTCTTATATTATATGATTATGCAACAATTATTACCACAAAAACACTATTTTATTACTGTAACTGCATGTATTCATACAAAGATCATTAAATTCAATGGTAATATTGAATGCAGGTGTAGGTAGTATTATAACATTTCTAATAATATGTAGATATTAATATAAATATTTCTGCTGTTATTTAATATTATTATTATGCAAATGAATGTAAACAATCAAAACAATGTCAGTTTGTAAAATAATAAATGTTAAATGTGACCTGGAAATGTTTTCAAGAGACTCAAATCCAGTAAAGCAGATGTGAGGTTCTTACTCCAGACGTGATGTCACAGCGCAGGCATTTACATATGCAGATCTGTCATTCCTGACTCCGCCCACATGTTTACACCAAGGGGAATGTTGATCTCACACAGCGAGACGTCTTCCAGCATGTGAGCTGAGAGTGTGTGTGTGTGTGTGTGTGTGTGTGTGTGTGTCCGAAACCCACATCCAGTGTTGTTTTCGGCACCGCCAGCATGGTCCAGACCTGCAGCATCAAGTGCACTTGTCGTCTCCATCAGAAGAGTGTGTGTTTATGGTCAGGGGCTGGGCGGTTTGTGTAAGATCCCCTGCAGGTCTTCTGGAAGAGTCAGGATGATAGTGTCGATGTGCGCCTGCAGTTTGGCCAAAGTTCCTGCTTTGACGGGAAGCTGATCTTTCTCTGCCTGAGTCTGAGGACACAGTGATCAAGAGTTATTTCTTACTTCAAATTTTCTGACCAATAAAAAGCCTCTCTAGTGTCTGACATGCCCCGCCCCCTTCTTCTCATTGGCTAGTGGGCGGGGCTTTCCCCCTCTGATGACACGTACAAAGGGAGAACGTCAACCGAACTGTTTCTGCAGACTAGTCTGATTATAAACAACGTAATAAATCAACCGTTACCATTAGAGGCTGGTTATATTCACACACTGCTGCCACACAACTGTGTTTAAACCACTTCTAAAACTTTTTTTTGTATAATAGGTCCCCTTTAAGACTGTAGGCACCTTAACAGTGTTCATTCAGACAGAAAGCCATCAGGAATGATGCAGTACTGACCAGTTTCTCCTTGAGTTTGAGCACCAGGTCGACAGTCTCCACCTCTGTGTGTTTCTGAATGCGCAGTGTCAGGTCTTCTTCACACAGAGCCTCCAGGTGAAGAGCCTCCAGCTTCTGCAGCATCTCCTTCCTGCGGTTTCTGAACCAGCCGTCAAAGTTTGGAGACCTCAGGAACTGCCTGCGGGAGGACAGAACAGAAGATGCATTTGTTTATCAGAAGTTTAAAGAGAAATAACTTTAAAACACAAGCTGATGTTTAGTTTTGTGTACAACATTTTGTACACACTACAAAATTTCAACAAAATTTGATAATTTTTTTTATGGTTTCTCTTGATTTTTGCTCATATTAAAATGTGCATTTAATGGATGTACTCTTTTTTGGAGCGTTATCATGAGCTATTTTGTTAAATTAGCTCCAGGTTTGGGTTCAGTACTGACTAATCTAATGTATATGCACAAATATAATATTGTAAAGCATAATAGAAAATAATAATTTAAAAGAGAGATGGGTGAACTCGTATATGCTGAGCACTGTACATCACATAAATAAAATAATAATAATAATAATAATAATTTATATCTGCAATTGTGTACCTGTAGAGGCCGATCCAGTCTCCTTTGAGTCTGGATGTGAGCTGAGGTCCAGCTTTCTCCAGGGTTTTCATGAACTCGTCCTGGTTGAACGGCCGCAGCTGTGGAGGACTCTGGGAAATAAAGACATTTGTGTTTTTTAAAGAATCATCTTAAATGAAAAGATCTGGAAAATGACGAAAGATCATTCTTACTTTCCATGGAGAGATGCTCTTCTGTAGCGGCATTAGACTGGCCACATATCGCTCCTATTAAAAAAAAACAGACAATATTATCTATGCTTGCACATTATATCACATGCATTTAACCTTTTGTACCAGTGTTATTTTGACATTATTTTAAACCAGTGTTTCCTTGAATTTAAAATGTATAGTTATAGGTTTTTAGAAAATCTTTTTTTTTTGTAAACTACTTATGACGTTTCTTTAAAAACTGTAAAAAAAAAAAAAAGAAAAAAAAAAGATGTAAAGCAGTTTTTGCATTAAATAATACAGATGTTGTTTTCTAATAATTTTAGACAAAACCATACCAATGTTTTCATTTAAAATGTAAATTAATATTCAGTGACTGACCCTAATTTTCAGTCACATAAAATATATTTGTTATTTATTTTATTCTGAACAACTGCTATAAAGTATTTCTTATGTGAGACAGAATCAGACCTTCATAAACAAAATAAATAAAGAGAAACAAAGACATTTTAAGTGGGGCTATTTGTTTTTCATAGCTGTATACCTTCACAATATGATTAAACATATCTATAGCCAGCCCCTATTATTCCAGTCTTCATTGTAACTTATAGTTATTTTCTCTTTTTAATTCAGTTTTAGGTGAGTTTAATGCATTTTTAAAACATTTCTATTCTTTTATTTTAGTAATTTATTTTTTTTCAGCTTATTTGTTTCCTCAACTACCCAAAATAACATTTCAGCTCACTTTTCCTCCCATCTAATGCTTTTATTTGTAATAATTTCTCTCTCTCTCTCTCTCTCTCTCTCTGTATATATATATATATATATATATATATTTTTTTTTTTTTTTTTTTTTTAATAAATCAAAATTATTAGCTCTTCTGTTAAATTTTATTTCTTTAATATTTTCCCCTTAATTTATTTTAAATGGTAAGAAGAACACATTTCTAAACATGATAGTTTAATAACTAATAACTGCTTTATTTTATCTTTGTTATGATGACAGTAAATAATATTAGACTAGATATTCTTCAAGACACTTCTATACAGCTTAAAGTCACATTTAAAGGCTTAACTAGGGTAATTAGGGTAAAATTAGGGTAATTATGCAAGTCATTGTATAACAGTGGTTTGTTCTGTAGACAATCCAAAACAATTATTGCTTAAGGGGGCTAATAATACTGACCTTAAAATGGGTTTAAACGTTTTTCATTTTAAATTCTAGCCGAAATAAAAACAAATACGACTTTCTCCAGAAGAAAAAATATAGAGGAAATACTGTGAAAATGTGCTTGCTCCATTAAACATCACTTGAGAAATATTTGAAAAAGAATAATATTGCACAGGAGGGCAAATAATTTTGCCCTCAACTGTATATTAGCATGTTGAAACAGCCTGATGCCATTAATTTTAATATATGCAAAAAAGCAATCCGACCAGAGGAATGATGAAACTCTGCGTAAGCTCCAGGAAATATCGACGCAGGATTGCATTCTGGGCCGCTGAAGGACGCTTCTGCTGAACTCCCTGATGTTAAAGACAGAAACACTGAATGAAGGCATGTACTTGAAGGATTGAGCAGTGAAAAAAATAAAAAAAAACAGCAGAACAAGAGACACTCACCTTCTGGAGCTGCTTGATAATGTCCTCGTCTTTGTTCAGGAAGGGTTTATATGCAGTGTAAACACCTGCGAGCACACCAGACATCATTAGTGCTTTAGGTAATGCACAGTTTCATTTATTTGCTTTTGGAAAAGTAGAGTAAGAGGCTCTTATTTAAAGTCAAATGAAGATCATATTCAAGCCTCACCAGGTTTCGAGTCCAAAGTCTTCAGATTTTTGAGTTTCTTCACTTTCATTTGTTTGGCCATCTCTCCTTTAAATAATAATGATGATGATAATAATAATTATAATAATAATAATAATAACAAAAATATATGAATGGTAATAATAATAATAAAAAATAATAAACTAAATAATTATATTAATAATATATGAATAGAAGTCATAACACTGCATGAATGTCAATGATGTGTTACTTATAAAATTATGAAAAATGTCCATTTTATATTTAATTACACATGCAGATAATCAGTATTTAATGCTCTGATTAACTGATTAATTCAAGTTCTACTCGAATTAAAAAAACCACAACTGGTCAATTTAAAAAATAAAATTTAGTAAGACCTTGAATCAAAAACAAAAGTATAATAATAATAAATACAAATAAAAAGTTAATATTTAATAAAATAATTATATATACACACACACACACACACATGCACGCACGCACGCAATTTTTCACACAATTTTTGTCTAATGGAGAGAAGATTTTTTTTCAGCACATTTCTAAACATAATAGTTTTAATAATTCATTTTTAATAACTGTTTAACAGTAATGCTGATGACAGTAATTAATATTTGACTAGATAATTTAAGACACTTCTATACAGCTTAAAGTGACATTTAAAGGCTTAACTAGATTAATTAGGTTAACCGAAATAAAACATAATAAGACCTTCCCTAGAAGATAAAATATTAACAGACATACTGTGAAAATATCCTTACTCTGTTAAACAGAATTTGGGAAATATTTAAAATAGAAAAAAAATTCAAAGGGGGGCTAATAATTCTGACTTCAGCGATATTAATATATATATATATATATATATATATATATATATATATATATATATATATATATATATATATATATATATATATATATATATATATATATATATATATATATATATATATATATATATATATATATATATATATATATATATATATATATAT